AGGGACTCAGTTCAATAACACATGCTGGGAATCCCGTTAATGCCTAGTGGATCTGACTGCATTGTGTTGACAACTAAATAAACTGCTTCTGAAAATATACATACTTTATTGTAATAAAGATTCAAAATAATTTAAAAAGTTTAAAATGATTCAAGATTTTAAGATTTATGATTGTTAAAATGATTTAAGATTTAAAAATATTTAAAATTGATAAATATAATGTTAATGTTATATTTAAAATGTTATATGGTCCTTATCACAGTAAGTTCACAGTTAAGAGAGCAGCCATGTAAAAAACAACAACATTGCCATCTTTTAGGCTGCAGGAGAGTGAGAGAGAGCAAGACTTGAAGAATCAGTCTTTATTGCCATTGCCAGAAAGAAAATTCACAGGCTACGAAATTGCTTTGATGTATTGGTGGAAAAATAAAAAAAATAATATTAATATGAATATAAAAAATATATACAAATCATGCAGAATAGCAGGTAGATAAAGTGACCAGAGTCATTTAACTATTGTTCATCACTCTAATGGCAAGAAAGCAACATGAAGATTTAAGATATTAGATCTCAGCTTAACTGTCTTATCTTTTTGAAAGTTCATGATCTGATTCTTATGGGCCAAACTGGATTTGAAATGGTGGCAGCCTTTCAAATAATCTAAGAGTTAAGTAAAAGTCCATCTTTTCTAAATTCACTTAATAATAAATATGAACAGTTCATGTAAAGAAATCATGAATGAAAAAGAGCAGAAAAGAAGTATAAACTTTTAATCTCAGTGTCCTATTTATTCACATAAATATATATTAAAGATATAGTTCACATATCTGTGATAGTCTTTTGAACATCTCAGTTCCTTTTAAGTTGTATTTTGCTTTCTCAAGATTGTTTTGAACATTGTTTGGTTAAAAAAAATATTAATGCTTTTTGTACATAAATTCTAAAATATTGTAGTCTGTCAATTTATGAATTTTCAATCATTTAATAACCCTCTATGGCATGACTTTTTATTTTTTTGGGGGAAAATGTTTTCCTGCATTCTTTGGGAGCTTGATGGTCCCTAATTACATATCAATCATAAAATTGGACCCTGACACCTCCCAGAACCAGATTTGGGTTTGTTGCCTCAGGGCAACATTGTGCTACAAGGGGTCTAAAACACCAAGTTTTCTACAATGATTATGAGAAGTGAAATACAAATCAAACACAAACTATATTCATAAAAAAAAACTTTTTTTGACAAAAATTAATCAGATATGGTTCCAACTCACCAAATATAAAATAAACAACTAACTTTCATTAATGAATGGTACATTTGAGTAAATTACTAAAACAAGCATTTGTGTGTTTGTACGTGTGTAATGTTTGGTGTAGTTAGAATCACTAAGGATGTTGCCATCAGTCTTTTTCCCTATTATATGTTAAACATCAGGAAGGAATTGCTTGTTGATGTGAAAAAGAGTGGATATCACATTTCTGGTACTTTATTATTGACATACCTGAGAATCACCATCTGATTATCTATGGGTTGTAGTTAGGGCTGCAGGTTCTTGTTTTTAAAAGTTTGTAGTTCTGATTTTTTTGATAGAATTTGAGCCAAGCTAAGAATAACATTTCCACCAGCTCCCATGTCCAGTAGGTTTGGTGGTGGCACGGCTCACCCTGTGTAG